TACCTCCTATGATATTGGTAAATACTTCGAAATCTAGGAAGTGCTTAGTACTACTTATCGCTTAAGTGTTGTGTTTTTGGATTTCATCATGGACTGACAGCGGTTAGAGAACCATTGGAAAACCTGAAGGGAGTACTGAACAGCTGCCTCATCCTCGTTTAGGACTCTTCAGCAGTACATACCTACTACCAGGGTTCGAACCCACGACCTCCCAGTTACAAGGCCTGAGGGCTCGTTAATCATTCACCCACTGGATGCGATCCAGTGTGCAGTCCATGAATTCCAACTTCTGCCAATCCATGATATGGCGTGACCACTAGCGAATGTCATCTGTGGCGAGTATTTGTTCTCACACCCGACCTGTTGTACCCCACTGGTCACGGCTTCCCACTAGAACCCAGGTAACTACCTACCTGAAAAGGGCCAGTCACTAGTGATGTCTAACCGATGTGAGCTCATGATGAAATCCTACAACCAATCAAATCCCTGCAATCCAACACTTGAATATTCACTTTTGTTGTAAACTTTAAAAGCCGCTGAATTTAGTTTTTAATAATTATTTCAACTTCAATCAACTACTTAACAGTTGTTCTTAAGGATATTATAATTATTAATTATTCTGTGAATTCAATAAACTAATTAAATTTTTTTAAAACGTCACTAAATATTTAAATAATTCAAATATTGCTTTAATTATTAGTGCATTTTGATTTGAGAAGAACAACATGTCTGCTATTATTATTTATTAAGTCAGCTGTCAATAGTGTAGGTTCTCTGCCCCTCTGATTGCAAATTTCATACTTTTTGAATTCCACAACTAACCTGGATTTACAAAAACAAACAAGGTGCACTTTTGAGTGGAGAATTCTTTGGAATTTAAGTGGTGCCATAATTGTTTTTTTTATCTCAATATAGTCAAGAATAGTAATAAATATTTGCAAGGGACAGCAAAAGGACGATTATTAATCATCATAAATCGTGATAAGGAATTTCAATTTATAAATTAGATTTTAGCTGTTTATTGACGAGTGCTCATTGAGACGAACACGTGTAGTACGATTGTGAGTAATGGAGGAGAACATATGTTACGTACTTAAGTTATACACCATAAAGTTTCACTTTAAATTTAGCAGTCTAGACATAATGGAAATCAGTCACAAACCTCTGTGGGTAACCCCTTTTTCATTCCTGAAAGTTATTGAAGTCGTCGACAAGATGTTTAAAATGTGTTCATACATTTGTTCCCCTTAATGAATTTAAACAAAGCAACAACTACAGATTTTGCAGAATAAAATGGTACCATCTTTTATTTCGTCGCCTTCTCTTCAGCTGCTTACAGGGCAAAAACATTATTAAATATATCTACAATAACAATTTAACATACTTACACAGAGTTCATTTTAAACAGAAATCAATCGATCAATATACACATACACTAATAATATATATATATATATATATATGCAATCTTGAACACAATTCCGAGCATTAATAATCATACAAAATGAAAACTTCTCCGCAAGCTAATGGGCAACCTTATGTTGAGGAGAGTTGATCATCGAAAGTATTGGTCTTAGAGGGACTTCTTTCTTGTGTATCTTTGGAAGTTGGAACCCATTCGCCGACGTCTAGCTGTGCATACCGTAAAAGACTCATTTCATTTCACCGAAAGCGTGAATCATATGAACGTTTCAAATAAGTTCATGGTCTCATTTGATGCAACATCCTTGTTCACAATGATCCCAATCAATGAAACCATTGAAATCATTTGTCAACAGTCTGATCTGCTTCCACTACCAGAGTCAGAATTCAAACGCCTACTGCTAATGTGTACCATGGATGTACAATTCCATTTTAATAACACTCTTTACCGACAAATAGATGGTGTAGCTATGGACAGTCCACTTAGCCCTGTTTTAGCAGATATCTTCATGTCAAATCTTGAGAAAACAAAGTTGAAGCATGCAATCGATGGAACAACTTCCTACTGTCGTTACGTTGATGAATCACTTATAGTGTGCAAAAATGATAGTCATGCTTCACACCTACTAAAATTATTCAATGATGCACAAGCCAATATCAAGTTCACTGTGGAACATGAAAGTGACGGGAAGTTCCACTTCCTCGACATCGCCATGGAACGCCTAGAAGACGGTATTCTTCAAAAGTCAATTTATCGTAAGTCCACATGGAAAGGACAATACTTAAATTTTAATAGCTTTTGTCCAAATAGCTATAAACGAGCACTGGTCAAGACTCTGTACTATAGAGCGAGAAGAATATGCTCTACAGAGAAACTAGAGTAAGAATTTGAGTTTCTTGAAAAGACTTTGAAGAGCAATGGGTACCCTCAAAGGTTTATCAATAAGTATGGAAGATCTGCAGTCGCAAATGAAAAACTAATCACAGTAAGAAAAAAGCCAATCTACTTTGAGCTTGATTATAAAGGCGAAAACATTGCAGCGATGATCAACAGAAGGCTGAGTACATCACTAGCCATAGCCTATCCTGCAGCTAAACTCGTTCCCGTCTTTCGAACAACTTGCTCTCTGGTGCAATCAAAAATCGATAGATATCCTTCTCATGTTAACTCCAACTGTATATACAAATTTACATGTATCTGCGGAAGCAGTTACATTGGAAGAACAGAAAGAAGAGCATATCTACGATTTTCTGAACATGTACCAAAAAGCTTACGTCTAAAGGGAACAAATGCTTTAGGCAGTGCCATCGCCAGGCATCTTCTTGACACAGGTCATAAGGTGGACGTGGAAAAGTCATTCAAAATTATCAATCAGCAAAAGAGTTCAATGCTCCTTAAGTTTGCTGAAGCCTTTTCCATCAAGCGCCTAAAACCTGATTTGTGCGTTCAGAAAGAAGCAGTTATCAGTCTTTCTTTGCCCTGGTAACTGGATATTTTTCATCCTAATGCAAGATACTAAAAAGTTTTCATTTCGTATGATTATTAATGCTCGGAATTGTGTTCAAGATTGCATATATATATATATATATTATTAGTGTATGTGTATATTGATCGATTGATTTCTGTTTAAAATGAACTCTGTGTAAGTATGTTAAATTGTTATTGTAGATACATTTAATAATGTTTTTGCCCTGTAAGCAGCTGAAGAGAAGGCGACGAAATAAAAGATGGTACCATTTTATTCTGCAAAATCTGTAGTTGTTGCTTTGTTTAAAATGTGTTCGTTTGAAAAGCACCATGATAAAAATGACAAAGTAGACTGACACTTAGATAAAATGAATAAATAAATGCATATAATCAGTTTCCTTTGTGAAGTGAAAATATTTGCTCTAGGAAATTAACTTGTAGTGCTGGGGAACACCTACCAGTGTGGTTAAATAAATGAGTATTTAAAAATACCAACAGTTCTATGTCAGATCATCTCGGTCAAATAGACCACAAAGCTAGACACATTGAACAGTCTTTCTCTATCATATATCGAGTATAGATTGAATGACAAAAGGCATCTAGATGGTGAATACCTTAAACAGTAGTGACCATCGCAATTCACTTAAATCAACCGGAGCTCTAAGTGCAAAAGAAACAGGTCCAACCAGCCATTATTGTTATCCTAGCCCATTATGGAACATATAATTTCATTAGTTGTCTGTGACTTTCCCTAATTCATCTGATATTCATTTCAATGTTATAGTAATGCACATTATGCATTACTGATGCTTAAAAATGTTATCACCTATCGATACTATTGATTCAAAGTAATTTACAACATTTAATGTTGTTAAAAACAATATAATTCTTAAATTATTATGGCCATATAATTGCAGAACCTGATGACGAATTGATCGTAAACAATATTCCCTGTTCGCTAGTCTTTCAAATTTGTAATGGGCATCTTTAATCAATGAAAATATTTGAATAGGTGCTTACAGGTTAGTAAAGTCGATCGGTTGTTCAACATTCAGAATCCCAAGTAAGTATCAACATGTGAAGATATATAGGTTTCTTTAAGCATAGAATGTATTTTCAGACAACCAAAGGTGATGCATATCAAATTCAAAGAGCTACCATATTTAAGGAAATAAGGGCGATGATAACCAAAGGAAAATTTAACTGCACAGAATGTTGGAAGCCGTTTTCACTTCGGATCATCATTCGGCAAGTAGCCACCAAAATTTCTAAGAACACGCATCCATAATCAAGTGCAGAATGCATGCAGAAATTTCATTCCTTAAAAGAGTAAGTAGGCAGACATTCAGTGAATCCTCTGAAGTATACAAAAAAATGGTAGTTTAGTGGGGATACTGTTTTCTCCAATTACAAAATGATACGTAAGTTAATACATAAATAATCATGTAATTCGGAAATAGGCTTTTCTTCTTGATAACGTTAGTTATGTAATGTATAACCGAACCAGCTAACTAAACTCACGTGATCGAATACCAAAGCTTCCTGAACACAAATACTTTCTAAACTCATCCTAATATACAAACTTTCTCTGTCTAATTTGTCTACAAAGTTCTAAAATAATACCTACACACGGCATTTACTGAAAACATTCAAATTATGATTGACGCTAAAGATGGTAATATTTTTTTAATTTTATTTATTTATTTTTTTGATTATAGCTTGATTCCACACAGTATTTTGGTACAAGTATAGAATTTTCAGCGTGTGATATCGGTAGCCCAAATTTTGCAGGCCGACCAATTTATATTAAGTGTGCGTCGGCAGGGGATCGAACGCCGGACCATGTGCATGATCGGCAAGAGTCGTAACCGCTGTGCCACCGACGCACTAGAAGCGAAAATATGTACTTCAAGATTCAAAATATTATTGTCACCATTAAATAATTAAAAGATTTACAATTAGTGCAAATTAATCAAAATAGTACAGAAAAAGTGTAAGTTTAAATAAAAGTTTACTCAATATCATAAAGTATTCGAAAAGTCAAGTATGATTTGACTGGCACTGAAAAGAAGAATTACTTTTCAATAGGTGAAAGCGGAAAACGACTGAGATGCTTCAGAAGAACAGTACTACTACTACTACTACTACTACTACTACTACTACTACTACTACTACTACTACTACTACTACTACTACTACTACTACTACTACTACTACTACTACTACTACTACTACTACTACTACTACTACTACTACTACTACTACTACTACTACTACTACTACTACTACTACTACTACTACTACTACTACTACTACTACTACTACTACTACTACTACTACTACTACTACTACTACTACTACTACTACTACTACTACTACTACTACTACTACTACTACTACTACTACTACTACTACTACTACTACTACTACTACTACTACTACTACTACTACTACTACTACTACTACCACTACTACTACTACTACTACTACTACTACTACTACTACTACTACTACTACTACTACTACTACTACTACTACTACTACTACTACTACTACTACTACTACTACTACTACTACTACTACTACTACTACTACTACTACTACTACTACTACTACTACTACTACTACTACTACTACTACTACTACTACTACTACTACTACTACTACTACTACTACTACTACTACTACTACTACTACTACTACTACTACTACTACTACTACTACTACTACTACTACTACTACTACTACTACTACTACTACTACTACTACTACTACTACTACTACTACTACTACTACTACTACTACTACTACTACTACTACTACTACTACTACTACTACTACTACTACTACTACTACTACTACTACTACTACTACTACTACTACTACTACTACTACTACTACTACTACTACTACTACTACTACTACTACTACTACTACTACTACTACTACTACTACTACTACTACTACTACTACTACTACTACTACTACTACTACTACTACTACTACTACTACTACTACTACTACTACTACTACTACTACTACTACTACTACTACTACTACTACTACTACTACTACTACTACTACTACTACTACTACTACTACTACTACTACTACTACTACTACTACTACTACTACTACTACTACTACTACTACTACTACTACTACTACTACTACTACTACTACTACTACTACTACTACTACTACTACTACTACTACTACTACTACTACTACTACTACTACTACTACTACTACTACTACTACTACTACTACTACTACTACTACTACTACTACTACTACTACTACTACTACTACTACTACTACTACTACTACTACTACTACTACTACTACTACTACTACTACTACTACTACTACTACTACTACTACTACTACTACTACTACTACTACTACTACTACTACTACTACTACTACTACTACTACTACTACTACTACTACTACTACTACTACTACTACTACTACTACTACTACTACTACTACTACTACTACTACTACTACTACTACTACTACTACTACTACTACTACTACTACTACTACTACTACTACTACTACTACTACTACTACTACTACTACTACTACTACTACTACTACTACTACTACTACTACTACTACTACTACTACTACTACTACTACTACTACTACTACTACTACTACTACTACTACTACTACTACTACTACTACTACTACTACTACTACTACTACTACTACTACTACTACTACTACTACTACTACTACTACTACTACTACTACTACTACTACTACTACTACTACTACTACTAAAGACAATAACACCAGGCATGCACTCAGACAAACAATTTTGCTTGAAATTAAGAACTGTTGACAATTGTACAACCCAAGTTTTTAGTATAACAAAAGTGTTGTAGAATTTTATACCGCTTAGTATAAAATAAGCTTATTTTTAAATTAAATAATCACATGGAAGCAGATTGTTATTGAAACATTCAATTTAATGTTTATCAAAATATCTTAGATACATTAGTCTCGACAGACTTTGGTCATTTTCTGCTTATATGTAATTCACTCTTCTTGTCCGTTCTTGTCTTAGAAGAAACTGCCTAAAAACAACTACATTGTCGTATCATTAGCGGTTTGAACTTATTATATCTTCTGATTATTAATTAAAAAACTGACTTAATAATAGTTTTCATGATATTTGTACAACATTCTGCTTAATATGTGATCCTTGATACTAGATTTCGATTTCAAATTATTCTATGTATACTTGTGGTGAGAGCTGTCTACTAGCCAAATTGGTAGACAGTAATTTACGTCAATATTTACGTTCCCAAGATTTGTCGTGAGAAACAACCAATCGGAAGACTGTGTTTGTTTGTTTACATATCCATAGTAATGTACATGAAAACATATATAAATATGCGTTGATTTCCTTAATAAATGATCTGTTGCCTGACTCTTGCCTTCTGTCGTTACATACTGAATATAAATTTTATGCTAATAAATGAAATTTACTGTTTTGTGATTCATGTATTTTCATGTCAGTCGAATGTAACCGAACTTGTGTGAGTAAAACAGTAGTCTGATGTGTTACTACCCAGTCCTGTGGATTTTGTCTAGGACTATAGTAACATCCCTTATACTAAAACTTATGAATTTTCCTCTTGTTTGTTGTACTGAATGGAAATAGTAGGTGTTTGTTGGAAAATGATCTACTAGGAAGAATACCTAGGTTGAGTAACCTTATGGATAAGTGTTTTACATTTGAACACACCAGGCTTTGGGCTCGAGTTTCAAAAGGAACTTCATAATACCAGTGTGGGGGGAGGGGCTAGGAGGGATGCTCATATTCGGATCCCACTGCTAGCTACCCCTATCAAATGATACTAACTTATATTCACTTACGAGCATGACGCGAATGAGATTGATCTACCCAATACAGTTCAACTTTCCTGAATATATATACACCGTACAGGTAGATTCTACAGACAAACTGAACTTTTATGCAATACAAAAGTAAACAGTAACCTGGTTCACACTTATTAGAAGTAGACATAAACTCCCGTACAAAGTCACAAAGTTTATCAGCATCAAAGTAATACTATATTTGTTGAATTTTTCCTTACCAAGAAGTAGAGATTGATTACTTAACTTCTGGCACCATGAAATTCAATTGTGCTGTTAAAATAGATAAAATTTCTCCTTGATAATTTCATTAAAAAGAGTTTATAGTAAGCGATACGAATAAATGCTTGACTTTTGGAGCACGATATACGGGGAATTGTAATAAAAACAGCAAAAAGTAGAAATAAATATAGCAAATTATGAAACCGTATGATTACACTGATATGATTATGAGCAATAAATTGTGCTTGCGAAAGGTCATCCAGTTATGAATATTGTGTCATTGTTAGTTACATCTAATAAACTTATCTGATATGTTGAAGGATTTCATCATGAGCTGACATCATTTAGAGAATCACTGGAAAACCTGCAGGAAGTACTGGACAGCTGTTTCGTCCCAGCTTGGGCCTCTTCATAAGTACTCACCCACCGGAGTGGTCGCGCTATGTCATGAATTGTCAGAAGTTAGAATTTATGGACTGACCATTGGATTGGGTCCCAGGAGCTGCTGAAGGGTCTACGAGCTCACTGGCCTTATAACCAGGAGGTCCTGGGTTCAATCCCTGGCGGTGGTTGCGTACTGATGAAGAGTCCCAAACTGGGGCGGGCCAGCTATCCAGTACTCCCTGCAGGTTTTCCAGTGGTTTTCTAACTGATGTCAGCTCATGATGAAATCCTCCAACCAATCAAACAAAATCCATGCAAAACCAATCCTTAAAAATTATCTGATATGGAATGAAAGTTTTTCTAAACTTCAGCTTAGTAATCTATTTAAGGAGAAGTTAAACATTATAATAGTTTGCTTACGAAATACTGCTTTTTCGAGGTCAGTAATAGTGTAGAACAATAACCAGCAGTCACACAATGGAGGAAAGTAGAACGCGAGCTCTGAAAGAACATACATTCAGTAATATTTCAAAAATCAGAATGACCGGGCTTAGCCCTTACAAACAATCAGTCTTATTGTCATCGTTAATATCAAATCTCGACCATAGTTGTTCCGCTTGCGTCAGAGAATTGACTCCCGGGTATTTTCCTGAAAGGGAAAGAGCAGCACATTGTCTAGTGCTTTATCCATAAGAGTTTTTATACTGTTACAATAGGGACAGGTAACAACACTGTTAAAAAAAGAGTTACATAATATTTCTCTGAAGTAAGGTAGTACATCTACAGTGCAAGGAATAACAAAAGTTAACTTACCTACTGTTTTCATCACTGAAAACTGAGGCTTAGATAACCTTTATAGTTATTTTTATTCAAATCAGCCGTTTCCTTCCATTTTATCTAAGCTGTTTGAGTCGATTACTCGAAATCATTACAGATCTTAAATGATACACTTTGGAGGTAGGGATTAGTTAATAAGACTACTAACATCTAACAATCAGTCTGGTTATGGTTTACATTTCTTCTCCACATCACTGAACAGTCTTCTTTCTAAGACCGATAGGAACTTCAGTGTCAGAATGTACAGTCTGAAGATTTAATCTGAAGTTAACACTTGAAGATTGTGGCAATACTTGAATTTTTTATATAAGGTTGTACGTAAAGCGTTAATTGAAAATAGCTACCCTAAAAAATTCATCACAAGATACATGACCAAGAGAGTAGAAAAGAATTTCTCTACATCAGCTAATAAAGTGCCTCTCCATATATACAACTGCACTTCAAAGGTGATGTATAGAACGAAATAATAACTAACAAGTTGAGAAGATTGATTCAAAGGACTTTTAATGACGGTAAGCTGTAACTCACATTTTCCACACGAATAGTTTTGATTCTGAAACTGTGAGACAAGGTACTCATGCTAGCCACCTCTGCTCCCGTAGAACCAGATACATTGGCCGTTGCTATAGGAACTTAACTTGTCGTGCTTGGGAACGACTACCAATGTAGTTAAATAAAGGTGTAGTAGAAGTCATCAACAGTTCCAAATAAGATCGCCTAGTCCAAACAGGCCACAAAGCTAACCATGTTGAAGAGTCTCTCTCTATCATCTATCGGGCATAGATTAAATTACAAAAGGCGTCTATATGGTGAATATTTCAAACAGCTGAGGCCACTGCGATCCAATTAAATCAACCGAAGCTCTGAGTGCAAAAGAAAGAGATTCAACCGACCGCTATTGTTACCCTGGCATGCTGCAGAAACTATAAATCCATAAATTCTATGTTTATTCCCTTAATTTATCTGATATTTAGCTTAGTATTATATTGGTGCATATTATCCATTCCTAATGCTTTAGAAATGTTATCACCTATCGACACTATTGATTCAGTGTAATTTAAAACATTAACATTGTTAATAAGAGTTATTATAGACACATAGCTGCAGAACATGTTGATGAATTTATCAAAATGAACACTTTTTGTTCATTAATCAGTCTTTCGAATAACTCTACAGTTAAATATTCAATTTACGTTATGAGATTTCCTAGGATTTGGATTAATTTCAATATATATATATATATATATATATAGATTTCATCACGAATAAACATCGATTAGAGAAACATTCAAAACTAAGCACCAGCGAAAAGCAGTTTCATTCTAGTTTGTAACTCATCACCAATGCACCCCTGTAACTCCATTCAGAATTGAACTGAATACCTTCAGGTTACGAGGTCATTATGTTGACTATTTAACCGCTCGATTGAAAATCGGTGACGAGTGAATTGTATAACTTCTGTCAGTTCATGATGTATCGTTACTGCAAACCAGTGCCGTCAATGAGCATCTACTTTACTCTGAAATGACGAACACCAGTAACCACAACTACTCATTAGAATTTCAGGATATCCATTCAGTAGTCAATAATGTACTGAAGATTGATGTTCAGATATTGGTTTTCGCAGGAATTTTGATTAAATCTACATTCAAAGTAATCCAAATCCCCACAAAATCCATATTAGAGAAGTCGCGATCAGTGCGGTTTAACATATCAAGCTGAAATGGATACTCATTGATAGCATTGATTGACTGTATCAGTATATGCTGGAGGATTTCATCATGAACTGACATCAGTTAGGGAACCATTAGAAGAGTCCAAAACTAGGACGAAACATCTGCTCAGTACTCCCTACAGGCTTTCCAATGGTTCTCTAACCAATGTCAGCTCATGATGAAATCCTCCAACCTATCAAACTAAATCCCTACAAAAACCAATACTTGAAAATTAATTTGATGCTAACTAGCGACTGGCCCTATTCAGGCAGTGACCTGGGGTTCTAGTGGGAAGCCGTGACCAGTAGGGTGCAGCAGGTTGACGGTGAGGTAGTTACTCATCGAAGAAGACATTGAGAAGAGGTCGCGCTATATCGTGAATTGACAGAAGTTAGAATTCAAGTATCACTGAGTTTCACTCAGATGGCTGAATGTACATTTAAACTTAAATATGTAATGTTCAGGTAGTCCAAAAGCTAATTATCTATTGTTTGAGGTATATAACAGCATCTTTTGTATACGTCTAGGCCAGTGAACCAAAGCTGATGGAAACTCCAGTTGTCAACAACTGCTCCTGAATACACTAGCCTGTGGAGGTAGAGTTGAGACATACACAGCTACTGCCAACTTAATTCTCTGAGATCATATCCCTCTATGTTTTATGTATTTACTCAATTTGTTTCCCCCTTTATTCCTGTTAGTTGTCAGCTGCTAATTCGGCTTTAAACGTGTTAATTTTACAAATTACTCAGTATGTTGAAAAAAACTTCACTTCAAATCAATCCTTAGTTTATACTTTTAA